TATATATATATATATATATATAATGTTTGTTCAAACAAACGTAAACTAATTCCATTTTAATGAGCTAATGAACAATGAACTAATTCAGTTTCCATAAACAAACTGTTTCTGTTATTTCATGTACACTATTATTAAAGTGCAACTGAGACGCAGCTCGAAATAGAACGAACGTCGAACAGCCAAAAATACTTTACGTTTCTACTTAGTCGTCGGATGTCCAGTGGTTAACAGCCGCGTTTCGAAATTAGTTTATTTCAATTGAAAAATATCAAATATATACACGTATCTTTTCTGGTAAATTATCCTTAGCATACCGCAAATTGTTCATAATTAACATGATAATTTTGTTAAAGAATTGTAAAAGGAATTTATTTATTAGAAATATCTTTAACATATTTCATTATAGTTCTAATGATTTGTGACATATGTATATACATGTTGAAAGTTCATTACGCAAAAATATTAGAAAGAATCTAAGACGTGATTCTATATTCGCTTGAATAGAGAACGTAATGTGAACAAAAGAAAAGTGTCAGTAGTCTGTTTTTTTTTTTCAAAAGATCAAGGTCTTAGTTGTGTTCCGTTATTCTTTTCGTTATTTGATCATCCTTGATTAAAATTACAATTTTTGTCATTTTCGTAGAAAAAATAAGAGATGTCTAAAACAGAGCATTCAGATCTCACAGCCGAAAAAGATGCACCTCCTGTGGAAGTGACAAAGACCGATTGTGCTGATAATACAGTCATAATTATTGCAATGAAAAGTACCAATGTAATGCGAGAAGATCCTCTTCCTGCAGAAGTTGCAAAAGAAGTATTAAATGCGCAGTTTGAAAACAAATGTTTAATAGAAGCAAAAATTGACACAAATGTATTTGGAGAAAAAGAAGTCGATAATCCAGATAAATATATTAAAGAGACTACTGATATAATCACTCATGTACCTGCTCATGTATCTGTGAAGGATGTAACACAAATCGAAACGCAAAGCTATGCTGAAAGTGAAGAAACATTACAGAAATTTATTAACAAAGAAAAGGTGAAAACGAGAGTAATGAACTGATAACTGATTTTGTTATTTTTGCAATTATTATTTATGAATTCTTATGTGGTGTCTAGGCCGATTCATCAAAGCAGAATGCAAGAGATGACATTGCAGTATATATATCCAGATTGGAGGCAGAAGTGCGGGTGAGAAAATTCTGCGAAAGTGCGGATTGTTCTGATAGAATCAAATCATTTCGATTCGATAACGAAATTATATTTCTATATTTCAGTAAAAAATCAATTTTTTGAAAGTTGATTTCGCTTGCTATATCTTTCCACATGTTTATTGTTAAAATATATATGCACATCAATGATCTTTCATTTATAATTATTATATTTCATGTATGTATATTATTGATTTAAAAAAACCCTTTACACGGAAAGAATAACTTTGCTCAAATATCTGAAAATTTAGTTAGATGCAGATCTGAAAATATAATTACATGTTGGATCAAAATAACTATGTAAAATGCTCAATGATGATAACATTGCTAAAGAGTTTTAAGATTTTAGCAATCAAATAATTATAATGAATATTTAAACGTCTATTACTTAATAGTACAACAAAATTATTTTGTATGTAACTAAATTTTCATATATTTCAGCAGTATCATTTTTTTTTCGTGTACAATTTTCGTGTAC